AAGTAATTTTAATAAGGACATATATAAAACTTTACATGTAAGAAGTTTAATAAGTACACACAGATATAAAAAAGAAACTGTAATACAATAATAGCTTTTGAAGAAGACATTCAATAAAGGAGGAAAAAAAAACAGTTGAGGAAAGAGTTTCAACTGTCGATCAGACATTTATCCCGCCAAGTTAAAACTTGTCGGCAGATTGCGGAAGAGTCCTGCGGTCAATAAACGAGGAAGGTGACGCCAGGTTGGCAGACATCATAGGAGATGTGTTGTTACCCGGCCATATTTCGAAACAGATAATTGTTTGGCAGTTGTCAAAGAGCATTTCTGAGAAAAGAGAAATGACAGACTTAGAATTAGTTTCTTTCATGCGGCGTCTGGTTGACCGCAGAAGAGGAAGCGGAAATGTCTTTTCGGTAGATGACGAACCTAACTTGTTTGGCGCGATTACAAAGGAAAGATTGGTTTCATCATTCTTCAGCAGATGAGAAAGGGGAAATAATAAGCACGTCTGGTTGGCAGCCGGCGAAGGGGGGACTTTCATATTACATGGTTGAGGATGCTCGTCACCTCGCTTAGGGGCATAATTCAAAGATTTTGGTCTCAGGGTTTTCATGACGAAATGCCGCTATTTGAGCAGTCACTATGATCTCTAAGGATACACTCGAAGGAATGACAATAAAAAAAAGACGCTCCTATTTCCGTTTTTCGGCTCAATTCCCACCGGTCTTCCGAGTCCCGTCCGAGTTCCAAGTTCCGAGTTCCAAGTTCCGAGTTCCAAAGTAATATAAGCTTGTTGGATTTCCCTACTGTCAAGTGGATATACTGAAGGCTTGTTTTCGCAAGCAACGGAGCCGGAATCGTCATCAGAAGCGCAGAGCCATGCGATCAAGTCAACAAAAATCACACCAGCGGAATCGAGAGCAGAATACCGATTCCGCTTATGACTCCGTCGCATACTATCTAGTGAGAACTACATTCCCGGAGCCGCGAGCAAAATCCGAAGAATTTAACCATTCACAATGCTCAATTCCAGGCATCGTGATTGGTTGGTTCTTGTACTTTCTACTTCGGACCCCGACAATGTAATTTCAGTAGATCATAAGCGACGGAGTCGAAGGCAGAATGGGAAGAAAGTGGAAAAGTTCTGATTCACCGACTCCGATTCCGTCGAGCTTATGACTCCGTCGCTAGTGATATCAGCCTTTAATAATTAAAATCGGCATCTAGTTGACAAACAACGTATAAAACTAACCTTAAGCTAAATTAATTTTTCTCGAGGTTATTTAAATTTCCGTTAATCGGACTAACATGTGAAATGATTTTTTCCACAAGAAACTCCATTCATGTATTTTACACAAACGTTTATTTGTCGGTTGTTGCTTTGAATGGGTTTCGCGAAAAAATCTGAAATCATGCAGCCTCGGTTTCATTTCAGTCGCTTTCCTGTCAAATTCCTTTCTCCATGTCTGTTCTACACAGCTCTATTTCACACGGCAGATTAAGTAGGAAAAATTCGATTACATCGTTTGTCGGTCGGTTCATACTACGTCATTTGCACGAGCGCTTGCTTCAGCTTATACCTAGCGCACTCTGCATTCCTAAGAAAAAAAACTCCATTTCAAAAAAACTAAGGCAATACGAATGACTTACCTTTCCAGTTTTAAAGCTTCCTTTTTTGTTTTTTGATAACTTGTCACTGTGAAAAGAAATGCACGTGTGTTAAATTGGTATTGGTTTTGGTTCGTGGCCATGTGATTTTCATGATCCAGCGCCCGAGGCTTTATTTTCATGTATTTTGCTCAGTTTTCCCTTTTCGTTGCACGATTCACTTTTTTACGTTCATTGCCATCTGATTGTCAGTCAGTGTTGCTCTAACATGATGAATTTAAACTGCGTTTAACCGAAGACTGGCGAATCTTTTACCTTTCAGTACAAAAGTTTTTGTCGTCTGTCCTTGTGTTCTATCGCACCAGCGCGCCACTGTTTTTAAAATTTTCAACGTTTGACTTACCTTGATCTTACATTTGTTTTGTTTTTTTTCAAATCACTTGAAAAAAAATAGCGACAGGGCATCTGTGCAGCGAAGATGCTACAGTAAGCGATCGCGATCATTTGAAATGATCACGATTGCTTACTGTAGTGGGCTTCTTTGCGGAGAAGATTCAACTTTCCTTTGTTTCGTCACAAAACCTCATTATCATAAAAGCGTGATGACGAGATTTATAAAGTCGCGCGCGCAGTGATCAGATCTTTCCATCCTCAATCAAGGTTATAAGAAACAACAAAAATAATGATAAATATAGTTTAAAATGTCTAAGGGGCCAAGGAATTCCCCTCTCCAGATATCTCTTGAAGACCTACTGATGTCTCACCTCGTCTCCAGGACCTGTGGATTCTTGCTTGAAGCACGGAGCGCGTGGAGATCTGGGTCTGTTGGACGTTGGACTTGAGGGAGCGGTTCTGTATTTTTCCGCCTAACCATCCGGGGCTTCCCGTTTCCCGCCCTTCACCTGGAGGCAAGGTAGGAAAATGTGCATGTCAACTTTATATNTAGGAAAAATTCGATTACATCGTTTGTCGGTCGGTTCATGCTACGTCATTTGCACGAGCGCTTGCTTCGGCTTATACCTAGCGCACTTTGAAACTTTGAAACTCCATTTCAAAAAAACTAAGGCACGTTCATTACCATCTGATTGTCAGTTAGTGTAGCTCTAACATGATGAATTTAAACTGCGTTTAACCGAAGACTGGCGAATCTTCTACCTTTCAGTACAAAAGTTTTTGTCGTCTGTCCTTGTGTTCTATCGTACCAGCGCGTCACTGTTTTTAAAATTTTCAACGTTTGACAGACCTTGATCTTACATTTGTTTTGTTTTTTTCAAATCACTTGAAAAAAAATAGCGACAGGGCGTCTGTGCAGCGAAGATGCTACAGTAAGCGATCGCGATCATTTGAAATGATCACGATTGCTTATTGTAGTGGGCTTCTTTGCGGAGAAGATTCAACTTTCCTTTGTTTCGTCACAAAACCTCATTATCATATTAAGCGTGATGACGAGATTTATAAAGTCGCGCGCGCAGTGATCAGATCTTTCCATCTTCAATCAAGGTTATAAGAAACAACAAAAATAATGATAAATATCGTTTAAAATGTCTAAGGGGCCAAGGAATTCCCCTCTCCAGATATCCTTGAAGACCTACTGATGTCTCGCCTCGTCTCCAGGACCTGTGGATTCTTGCTTGAAGCACGG